TCTGAATGTGTATAAAACACTTTTCCAACCACAGAATCTCACAATGCTCAGTCTGTGCAAGCCAGAAGTGCTGCCCGTTGGGGGTTAAAGGACAAGTGCCAGGCAGAGCGCACCCCAAGCAGGAGTGAGGCAAGGCTTGCAGGTTGCAAGCTCGGCTCTGCCCAGGGCAAGCTCACTGGAAGGGCTTGAAAACACACAGATGCTCATGCTGTGCCTATGTTTGGGGTGAATGACACCCCGTGAGGACTCAGGGCTGCAGCCCATGACATCCCCTCAGTGGTGGGGCTGCTCTGGTTTTTGACTGACCAGGACCAGCCAGGCTCCGTCTCTGCTGGAAGGATGGCGGCTCTCACCCCGGGTCAGAGGGAAATATGATGGAGAAAGAGAAATGCAGGGCTTGGGGGGGCCCTGGTGACACAGCAGAAGCAAAGACATCCTGACAGCTGGGTCTCACCTGACTTTCAACAGGTTGGCATTTATATTTTATTTATACATTTAACAGAAAACAGGTAATTAGCCAGTAAGATAAGTCATAAAACAGCAGTAATATAACATAGATCATACTTGATGTAACACCTACTGTCAGAAAAACTCTACGTACATAAGCCCACAAGATACCATGCATGGAGAGTAAGCACAAGAGATTGCTCCCCAGGTGCTGGGCCTGGGGAGCTCTTGAAATTCTGGCAGCAAGTGATTTTATGATTTAGTTCACATTCTTCCTTTCCCTGTAAACAATTTGGTCTGGATGTAAACTGTTCAGGAAATGCTATGATGAGACAAATGCTCAGGGCTGTGCAGAGGCCATGCCAAGCTTGACTCCAGGGGTGGCCAGGACTTGGGGCTACCTCCACATAGCTGCCTATCACTAGGGCAGAAGGGCACACAGCCCATGGCTCCTCTGGGCAGGGCTAGTGGTTTCAGCCCAAGCATCCCTTCCTAGTACACGCAGCAGTGTCCAGGACAGGCACTCATCCTCCACACTTGTTTTTACTCGTTTTCCCTGTGCTTGATTAAAGACCTGTCTGTCCTGAGCAGGAGCAAACCCCTGTGCAGATGGCCACTCGGTTCTTCTGTAGGTTGAGGTCTGCCATGAAGGGTGGGTGGACTTTAAGCCCTTCTAGGGAAGCAGGGTAAAAAAATCAGGAATAGATCTATAGCAGCTAATTTTATCTCTTAAACTGTACATGGAAACAAGTAACTCAGTGCAGTGACCTCCATGGGGTTACTATGAGGTTAATGTCAAGGCTGTGTTACGCTTTTTCAGCTTCCTTTTCCAACTTCAAGACTGCAGTTGTTGATTTTTTTTTAATTGGCAAAACACAAGAATGTCCCAGAGATGGGATTGCAGTAGGAATCAAGTAGGGACAATGGGGCTCAGTATATTATCTTACTTTTTAAAGTGTTTTATCAATTCCAGAGCTGAAAATACCTATTTTTTAAAAGCACAGGTCCTGAAGTGCAGAACCCCTTTTCTGCAGCAAATCCTCTGACCAGGGAACTGTGGAATATGCCAAACCTCATTTGACTGCGTGGACAATCAAAGCTTGAACTTTTAGTCCCTTTTCTTTTGCGTCTACTTTTAAGGCTCAGTCCTAGCTCATCACAGTCAAAATAATTCCTGTTAAACTGCTGTAAGCGTGCACCTACACAGTAGCAGGCAGCTGCAGGAAGGGCCGGAGCAGAGTCCCTTTTCCAGTCTGCTCCCTTTCCCTTGCGTAACACTTGAGTCCTTTGGGATCTGCAGAAATGGGATGTGTCTGATTCTCCGACTGTCAGAGAAACAGCTTGTGGGACACTGCAAGGTTAACACCCATAGCGGTGTAGTTAAAAGCCATGTCTTTTCTGCTAACTGGACTATTGTAGAAGACACAGATTTCCTTTCTTTATTTCTCCTTTGACAAGAAGGCCATTAATTTCCCAACTGCTTCCTGCAGCAGTCCTAGCTCATGCCAGTCTTGCCTTTCCTGGATCAGCCGTTTCCTTGGCTGGCACAAGTGTCTGTATGAACAGATCAAAGCAGCTACCAGAACTGGGTTAAAATTAAGATTGCAAGAAAAGAAAAATAAAAAAAAAAGGGTTCATTTTAACCCGAATCAGTTCCTCAATCCTGTGCTCAACATTGTCAGGGGGAAGTAAAAAAGTGACACAATGGGAGAGTGACAAGCAAATGATGTGTGAAACGACAGCCTGAACTATAAATGGATGGACATGACTAGTCTCAGTCACGCGGCTTTAGACAATATAAAAACCTCTTTAAGCCTTCAAGCATCTTTATAGCCTTAAGTTGCCATTTCTCCTCTCTCTGAAACAATCTCCAAAAATGGAGAGTGGCAACAGCGGCAGAAGAAAACCAAGACCAATACTGTGAGTATGTGTACGGGGCCAGCAGCTCTCTTCCGAGGGCCCAGCCTTGTCCCCAGCTCCCTGAGCTGCCCAGGAGACCCTGCAGGGACAACGTCTCATTTTGCTTTCCTGACTTCTTGCAGCCTGCAGAGACTGGAGCAAGACTCTGCTCTGCTGAAGAGTGAGAATTTAGAGGCCATGCTGGGTAGTCCTGGGAGATGTGTGTCCTGGCTCACACACACCACTAGAACTGGAGCAGATTTATTCCAGTTTGATTTCCTACATTCAGGAGGACTCCCTGAGGGGATGAATTCTGACCTGCAGCTCATAGGGTTGGGAGGAGAAAGCTCCAGCCCTGCCAGCCAGCCCTTCACTCCCTGTATTCCGCTTCTGCATCATCTGCTGTCTGATTTCTGGTGGGAGATGGGCTGATGACGGTACCCACTGCAGGTACATTTTCATTTTTGGTGTCTGACTTTGACTATTTGATTGGAAAACAAAAGGAAGTGCTAAGCCGTCACCTGCAAAGTGTCCTGCCCAAGTGGTCCAGGTTATCCATGCTAGTGAGTACAGGTACCGCTGCTGGGAGCTGCTCACTGTGGGTGCTGACACCTGGGGATCCGGCTTTTGCTCTTTCTGACAGATATCACTAGGGAATCCTGCTGGCATCATGGTATGAAACGTGGCTGTGTGCTTTTACTGAGCAAAGCATGGGAGGAAAGCCCCTTTTTGGGGCTGCAGCAGGGGGATGGGAGCAGCCCATAAGCAACTTGACCGTCACCTTGTACAGAGACCATGTGGGACCCCACGGTGCTCTTGGGTTCCTGAGGTGCTCTTGGTTGAGTAGGTCTACGCAGTCCATTCCTCAGACCAACTGGAAAATGACTGCACCACTGTTATAAAAACAAGAAATAATGGAATGTTCTGGAGCTGCAGTGTCCTGTAGCTCCAAAAGCAACATAAATTCGTCAAAGGTCCCCATCATTCTCAAAGTGTAAAGAAAAAAAGACAGATAAATGTAGGGGAAAGCGAGAGATGAACTGAAAGGTTGCTATTTTGGGGTATGAATTTACCTTTCAATTAAAAGCAAGGTCTTTCAGTCTGGGGAGAACCTGCACTTAGTTCTGGATCGTGTGCCTTTGCTGCCCTTTTTGTTTACAAAATAAGCTGCAAAAAGCAGTTGTTATTCTAGACATGAATATTTTTTATCTGAGAGCTACTGCCTACCAGAAATTTTGGTATTTTTTTAAATGTTGGCTAATTTTGTGTTTTGAGTAGGAAGCTTTAACTTCACACCAGTTCTACACATGCTCTACATGCTCTTCTGCTATCCAGCAGTTTGGGCAAGATAAACCTGTAACCAAGATGTTCCTCCACTAATTTCTATGGCTTTTATCGGGATTTTATTATTGCTCACCTTACTGTGGACTTCGAGAAGACGTGGGGAGTGTATGAATTATTTTAAAATTATTTAATCTTTAAAATATCACTGGTATGCAGGCAAGTATCCTTATATATCTACCCAGCTTTTGCTTTTGCTTTCTGACTGGTCAATAAAGCAGGAAAGGCAGTGCCAGGTAAGCTGCCTGCAGCGATCTCTGCGGGAGGCCTGCCTCTCCCACGGACTGTGCTAACCACCTCTCCTCCTGCTCCGGATGCCTTCCCAAATCCTCAGTCCCCTCCCGACACCTCCGTGCTGTTTGTCCTGCACCACCCCAGCACTTGCAGGAGAGGGGAACCCCTGGGGCACCACCCCGTCTCACCCACGCTTACGGTGGAAGGGAGCGCACAGGTAGCGTCGAGGCAGGAAAAGTCTCTGAAAAGCAGCAAGAATTAGCAACGTCTTGCATGCCAAAGCAAGTCCTAAAGCAGGCAGAGCAGCAGCTGGGGAAGGTAGCAACCCAGCCCCGACATCCCCCCTTGTCTGTCTGTCCACCTTGGCACAAGGTAGGAGGCAGTGGGCAGCTCCGGCACTGGCACCCTCAGTCTGCTCGATGGGTCACCCACTGGGAGCGACAAGGAGGAACAGCACTTGGTATCATCCTGGGCACCTGCCTGCCTGCCAGGCTTGCTCTTTAAAATAGGCTGTCAAGCACAGACAGCTATTGAATCAATATGGATTTTATTCTACAGCCCGTGCCTGGTAGCTGTCGATGCCACTTCTGCTGGCATGGGGTGGGCTCTGCCGCTGTACACCAGGACGGATATGGGCTACGAGAGAGAGGATACCAGTGCTGACTCCTTGGTGCCCATCTCGGATGACTCTGAGAAAGCAGCCAAACAGGAAGACTTCAGAGACGGCGTCTCTGTGTTGCCACTGCCAGTCTCCCCCACCAGCACCAAACATGCATGTTTGCCAAGCACAGAGGAGAGTTTGGATATACTGCAGTCGGTCAGTCCTTCGGATGAGATGTGAAAGCAGAGGCCTCCTCCACCAGCCCCACAGAACCTGTTGCATGTCCCAAACAGACTATGAAAATCAGCCGACATCCAGATCACCGTCTCCTCTTCCACCAGACAGCTTCTCACGCCCTTCCTAAGGCTGTAAATTGCTGTGGATAATAGCTGTGACGTTTATCCAGATCGTGGCTGCCTATCTGTGCTTGCGCGGAGGATCCGGTGCTTGCTGGTCCCATTGGAGAGGTGGCGTCCAGCTACTTGGAGCTTGTGTACTTGGTGACGGCCTTGGTGCCCTCTGAGACAGCGTGCTTGGCCAGCTCTCCCGGGAGCAGCAGGCGCACGGCCGTCTGAATCTCCCGGGAGGTGATGGTGGAGCGCTTGTTGTAATGGGCCAGGCGGGAGGCTTCTCCAGCGATGCGCTCGAAGATGTCGTTGACGAAGGAGTTCATGATGCCCATAGCCTTGGAGGAGATGCCGGTGTCGGGGTGGACCTGCTTCAGCACCTTGTAGACATAGATGGAGTAGCTTTCTTTCCTGCTCTTGTGTCGCTTTTTATCGCCCTTCTTCTGGGTCTTCGTCACGGCTTTCTTGGAGCCCTTTTTGGGGGCAGAGGTGGACTTCGCTGGCTCTGGCATCCTGAGAGCTCTTTCTCAGGGTCTTGGAGCTGCTTGGAAAGAACACCAAAAAAATCAAGTTCTTTTCTGTTCTTCTACAGTATAGTTTTACTGAAAGACCGAGAGTCTGAGTTGGTGACAAGCGACATCTCTGAATCTGAAACAAACACCCCATGACCCCATGGAAGCATTTTTGAACTGCCAGCGAGAACCG